TTTGTGAAATGAATTGAACAGCTGCAGCCTAATCTCTTGCCCATTGGCACAGCTCTGCCCGTTAGTTTGATTTTAAATTGATAATAACCTAGTTTTTAAGGTAATAATGACAGGAAGAATGCTGAAATGGATAGCAACTTCTGGAGTTCATAAATAAGCAGTTAAATGCAGAAATACAAAAGTCACTGTCAGAGATGCCACACTTGTCCACATGGTGTCTTAAAGATCTCACAGACTGCAATCAAATTTAAATCACCAGTAATGAGAACCTTCACTTTCAGATTATTTGGTTTACTGTACAGGTCCTTCAAAAAGTTATAGCTTGTTCAATATGGTTAAACTGTATTTTTGAAGGTATACTACATTTGACAATTGTCTCTGACCCTGAAAACCTAATTTTATATTTGTGGAACATTATTTCTTTTCCCCCAGTTAAAATAAATTCCACATTTTTTCTAAAATTGTTTATGATATTTCAGTCTGTGCCTTAATCCTTTATACACATATATATATTGCACTTTGTGAAATATAATTATTAGTATATTTTACTTCTGGGTTCAATATGGTTGGCTTTGCTTGTTGTCGGATCAGTGTTGAATTCAAATGAAAGCTGAGAAAGGGATCAATGCCACATAAAATGTTAAACCCCTTGGGAGATTTTTTTAAAAATCAATGTCAGTAGTGGATGCTGTTATTTTGCTGCTGATCAGGAAATCTAAGCCAACGTCTTTCGAAAGGCCATAAAAGAAGCTGGTATGAAAATGCAAATGCCAAATTTTCAGAGCAATCTGTTATTCTGAGATTGGGTCAAAATTTAAGAGAATTTAGTCCACAGTTGACCATTAGTGCTTGTTTGATGGCACTAACAGGTACCTTAAATGTGAAAAATATTAAATGTCCAGTGTTAACATTACCAATTTCTATAGCTGGGTAACTCCCGAAAAGAAAACTTCTCCGTTATACATGGAGGATAGGGAAGCCAATGCACAAACAAACAAAAAAATCTTCCAAGTGATTATAGGAGTACATGGGTAGATTTCCATGCACATTTGTAGCAACAGTAATGCACAAGATACAACCGATGAATCTTGAAAATACAACACGAGTGCGCAACATTCTGGGGGTACAAGGATCAGGGAATTAGTAGATATTAGCTGACTGAAATGAGTACTAATTTAAGCACTGGAAGTAGGTGATGACAAATCAAAAAAAGACGGAGTGGGAAACGATGCAGCACTAGAAATCCACATGGATCTGTTCTCAGCCTCCTACTGTCTTTTGTTATTCAAAACGATTCATAAGTATCGTGGTAGAGTATATTTGTAATATTGCAAAATTTTAAGGCATCAAGTTATGCGGTTATCTGACGAGGTAGTTAACAAAATAGTCTGGAACAATTTAATGGTCAGGTAACAAACACATCAATTCTAGGGTCAATTATACTAAGATTACTTACGCAAAGAAAAAATATTTGCACTGGATAAAAGTGGCTTCTAGCACCACAAGTGGAAAAGTTTAAGAATTTATGAAAAATTCCTCCCCATACTTTACAGTAAGAGGTAAGTTCATCAACTGCTGCAATTTCTGTGAAAATAGCACAAAGTAAAGGTTTTTGCAGTATTGTGCCCAGTCTTCAGCTCATACTTCCATTTGAACAGAGGTCACTGCTAATAGCATTGAATCTTTTAATTACCCTTTCATGTGAAGAACCTCCTCCAAAGGGTCCTAAATATACCTATTTCTAGTTTGAGCCAAATGGGCAGATGGAGGAAAAATTAAAATTAATGTGGAATAAAAGTGACATAATACATTTTAGGACAAAAAATAAGGAATACAAGTTTATTTTTAATGGAAAGATGTTTGAAAAGATAATTTCCTGAAATTGACAGGCAGGTATGTGAAAATGTATAATGTCTTGAATTTTATAAATCAAGAAACATAGTGCAAAAAAACTGGTTAAGTTATAGTTATAGTACTGTAAGAAGTATTGAGGCTCCAATAATAAAGGAGAACATTAAAGCCACAAAAATATTTTGTTTTGGTTCAAGCAATTACAGTAGTGAGTAGATACTGAGGCAGGGAAACCATTTAGTGGGGTTTTTGACATAGGGATGAGTATTTGGAGAGCTGGTAACAATGGGTTACTTCTAGCTAGAACATCACAAGTTTGACAGCCTATCATTAAATTGTAATTGGGTCAAATATAGAAGAAAACACAGAATACAATCTGGACACTACAAAGTCGCAATCAATAATAGAAATTATGAAAAGGCCTGCTGATTACACACATCTGATCAAATTGAAGTTAATAAAATTATTTAATAAAGAACAATGAATAATGACCAAACAGAAAATCAAAAATTATCTAAATATTTTATGAGAAGATGTACCATTTATACAGTATGAGCACATTATCTCACGATACTTAATTGTAATACATTTATGGGTGGAACCTTGAAGAGTTGAGGGGCTCGACCTCTGGCTGGGAGTCAATGGAAGACTCATGCCTTTTCCAGGGAAAGCCTGCGAAACCACAAATCAATCTTCCATTGGAATCACAACCTTGGGGGAGGAAATTTCAATCTGTCAGCCAATCTGGGGTGGTTAGAGGCCACATGGTGGAAGAGGGAAGGTGGCATAGTTGTTACCATTCCACTGAATTAAGTGGCCTTCCCACCTTCAAGCAAGCCACCTCTGGGAAAAGCCAATTTCTTCCAATATCGAGATAGTAGGAACTGCCGATGCTGGAGAATACCAATGATTTGTCCCATGTTATTTTTAAAGCCATTTTTTAAAACCAAAAATCTAGACAGAATGAAAAGTATTGCACACGATGCACTGCATGTACCAAAATGGCAGAGCTTTTCAAAGGGATTTTTCATCCACAGAAAACTTCTTATTACCACAACAAACTCTTCAGTTAAATTTCATGTTCCTCATTTCTGGCCTCAACAACCCAGCATACAAAAAAACATGAAGAGTACAAAAAGGATTAATTCAGACAACATCGAAAACTAAGAAATTAAGTATCATCTCAATGTCTAATTCTAAACTTCCAAACTAAAGTTTTCTGGGTTCCAAAGTTAAAAACAATAAAAATTCCACTACATATAAATATAAACATGAATCCACATTGATACAACACATACACCGTATCAACTGGCAATGAAGAACAATATTTTACATCTTTGATTATGAACTTTCATTGGCATAAGACCAATAGAAACAGGAAGAGGGGTAGACCATTCATGCCTTCGAGCCTGCACCTCCATTCAATAAGATCTTGGCTAATCAGACATTCCTTATGTCCACTTTCCTGCATTTTCTATATAACCCTTGATTCCCCTACTGGTGAAGGATCTATCTCAGCCTTAAATATCCACAATGACTCTGCTCCTACAGCTCTCTGTGCAAAAAAGAGATCTAAAGACTCACAACCCTCAGACGAAATTCCTCCTCATCTCAGTCTTAAATTGGCACGCCTTAAATCTGACACTATGCCATCTGGACCTAGACTTTCCCATGAGGGGGAATATCCCCTTAACATTTACCCTGTCAAGCACCTTAAGAATCAGATATGTTTCAATGAGATCACCTTTCATTCTTCTAAATTCCAATGAGTAGGGTCCCAACCTGTTTAACCTTTGTTCTGGAATACTACAGAATATCCAAACTCTTGAAACTAACAAATATGCAGTAACAGGAGACCTGCAAATGTGAAAAAAGTTGCTGTTTTCACAACAAGCAAAGTACTCCAGAAAATACTTTAAATTACAAAGTAAATTAAAAGACAACATTGAAAATTATGCTAAATTGAACAATACCAGTTAGCGAACTATAAAGGACTAATAATTGCTAAACAAGATTTCTTGCTTGAAGAAAAACCATACCTAAACAAAAGTAGTATTTGAAGTACTTATCACATTTATAAAATAATGCATACACTATGCAAATAAATTAAAATGGCAAGAAAGTGAAGCTACCATCAGCCATAGCTGTCTTATCTAATTTCCACATTAGAGGAGATAGCATAAATGCAAACCTTGAAGCAATATTTACTTCTGCAAAACACACCTCATGTAAGAGACGAATATATCTCACCTTATTAATGAAGATTAAAATTTTTGTTCGCAAATGTTCTGGTTTGTTGGAAATTGCGTTTACTTAAGGTTTCTTTTGGTTAAATTTGGAAACAAAAATACTCCTAATTTTACTCTAACAAGTTCTACAATGCCAAAAACTAACTGCTGTTTTGAATACACTCAAAATGTGCAGAAGCTAAATCACCTCCACACTGAACTCAACAACTGACAGAATTGTGTTAGTCTTACACAATACTAAGTACCCCCAGAAAATAAAACTAATTGTTTTATTTCATTTAAAAAAAAGGCCTAAAAAAATCCAATCAATTTATTATTCAAACAAGATACACAATAGATCATGGTGGTTTACCAAAAGGATGAATCACTTGCATCAAGCCAAAAATTTCACTTACCTGTATTTTATTTTTCAGTATACCACCAGGATCAATTGCACTCCACAACCGTTTTTAAATGGCACACCAAGTACAGCATTCAGCAACACTTAACTTGTTTATCAAAAGCAACAAATTAACTTTCTCACAAAAACAAGCTAGGAACCAAGTAATCAGAACAAGAGGTTACAGGATGATCAAGATTTCATATCATATGGTGAAGTAAAGTCAGGAAATATTGCAAGAAAAAATAGCTGATTTTGATCAATTTTTGCCTCTGCATCACACCTCAAATTATAATTACAACTCAGAACCTTGTTACAGTCCACTAGAGACCTCCAGTGAGCTGCCAAATTCATGTTACACACATTTTCCAGGCTGAAGGATGTTTTGGATATTTTTTCTAAAACTAAGATCTGAACTAGATGACAATGAGGCAAAAGGTTCAAACCATGAAACTTCAGGCTCATGATATAAAAATGAATCACTGTCATTGAAAGGGTCCCAGATTTGATCTGTGACTTACATAATCATGAAAGGCTTTTGCTTCGCTAGAATGTTCACAGGTTTCTCTTCTTTCAGGTGCCGCACAGTAAAGGTCCCAAAATACACTGAAAGAAATGAAATGAACTTTTGTTAATAAAACTTGGTATCACTCTGAAATGTTCCCTAAAATAGAGATCACACAAGTTGTTCATATAATTATTTCATTTAAATGTTAACAATTCCATCTTTCTGAGAGAATAAAAGTATTTTTATTCAGCTTTAAGACCATTAAAGTCATTCAATTTTATTCAGTTACATTTGTTTACATTTATTGAGAAACTATAAATAGTACTTGTAGAACAACCTGGAAAGACAAATTCATCCTATAATTCCACCTTTATTGTCATTTTTCAAAGAACTGGCAAAATCAAAATTATGTTTAATTACACCGCCTTTAGTCGAAATGAGATGGTTTACGTTGACGTTGCTACAGTAATTAGACACTTAAGGGCCTCAATTGGCCTATGCAACCCAAAGCATCCCTCACCGTGGATAAAACGCATGAGGAATTGATAAACAGCATGCGTTTGCAACTGCAAGGTACTCAAATATTATGCGTCCCTCTTCCAACTTGCCATCAAGCCCTGGCCGGTGAGGGGGAATAAAATTCCAGCCCTACTGTCTTTATTTCCCAACATGCAAAACAAAGAAATTGAATAATTGTTTAGCACCTCCAGCAAATTCACATCCCATTGTTTTCAAAACAGCAACAAACTGCTTGGCCCCCAAAAATCAGAACAACTCAAGCATCCCGGGTGCAAAAGGCCCAAAATGACACCACAAAGTCACCATGTCCATGAGTTCTGATGAACACCTATGAAGTATGCAATCTCACCACAGAGAAGGCGGCCAATATCTTCCCTCCCCACAAGCTGTCATTGTCAGCAATCACATGCCAGCAAGTATGAGTGACCACCTAGGAAACTCCTTGTCACTAGTGAAGCGTTCAGTGGGTCCTTGCATGGCTGATGAGTCTGATCCTAGATCTGCATCTCTAACCACACAGTTGGCAGGTGTTCCAGGAGATGGAATTGACCTTTGGCTTTGAGATCATTGGCACCTCTTTCTCCAGTTTCTTTTTCGTACTTCCTCTTGCTGACAGGTGTTCTCAAAAAATTCAGACCCATCATTCAGGAGGTTCCTCCAATTCGGTTTCTTCTAAAGAGGGTCTCCCAAACGTTGACTTCTACGTTGCATTTCTTGCAGAAAGCCTTCCGGGTCTCTTTGAAATGCTTCCTTTATCCTCCTGTCATTTGAGCTAGGTGAAGATAATTTGCTTTGGCAGTCAGAACACAAGCATCCTGGGCACGTGGCCGGCCTAGCTGAGTTGGTTTCAGAAGATCATGGCCTCAATGTTGTTGCTATTGGCTCCTTCAAGGACACTGATGTTAGCATGCCTGTCCTCACAGCTGATGCAGAGAATCAATCTCAAACAGTATTGATGGTACTTCAAGGGCTTTGGAGGCGACATCTATACATAGTCCAGGTTCCAGAGCCGCATAGAAGATTCAGAAGGATGACTGGCTTATATACAAGGATCTTGGTATCAGCACAATATCACATTTATAAAAGACTCTCATCCTTGCGTGTCCAAAGGCAGCGCTCACAGATTGGATGTGATTGAATCTCTGCATCAATGTTAGCCTTAGATGAAAGGTAGCTGCCCAGATAAGGGAACTGCTCCACATTTGAGAAGCTTTCTTTGTTGTTGTTAATGGAGCTATGGACGTAAACTGACTCTAGGACAGTTTGGTACAGATAATCAAAATTTTTCACACATATGGGTTACACACATTCTGTGCGCTCTGAAGCTTTGTATATAGCTAGACAGGCACCCACAAGTGTTCAAAATTCAACAATGGGAATGTTTAGTACAGACCGTGCACCATTAAGACAGAACTTCAGAATGAAAACAACATATTTCGGAAAAACATATTTAATGTCCTTATCACTAACTTTGATGCAACATTCAAAGTAGCACCAAAAAATACTTTAGAAACTTTCCCCAAAACATTTCACTGTTCTTAATTTGCATTTATTTCACTGGCATTTGCAGAATTATGTCGCCCCAAGTGTATTACAGGCTTGTAACACCAATGCAGCTTTCCTGAAAAAACATGTTAATTTCTTAGTGAATACTTTCACTTCACTGTTGTTAGTACTAATCAACTTCTGCTCAACATCAAAAGTTTTGCTACAAATGTTTTTCTGCAGTTAACTATTATGCAAAAGAAAGGATACCAAAAATGGCTGTTTTATTGTCAAATAGATTTTTTATTTTGTACGTGATAGTGAACTATAAAGGGAACCCAAAAGGAAAAAAAACTAAGAAAACTGATCCAACTCATTTTGCATCCTTCAAAACGGAAATAAACGTATTGATCCTCCAAATAGTTATGGTTTCTCCCCTCTGAATAATTTTTACTGGGCTTTGGACACAGGAAGCAAACAAATTTAAGCAACAATGTGTCTTTGGGGAGACGATGACCTAGCAGTATTATCATTGGACTGCCACAGCAGGATTCAAAGGATTCAAATTTAACAACCTGGAATCAAGAGTCTAATGATGAGCATGAATCCACTGTCACAGAGAAACCAATTGGTTCATTTGTGTCCTTTAGGGAAGAAAACCTGCAATCCTTACCTGGTCCGGACTACATGTGACTCCAGGCTCACAGCAATGTGGTTGATTCTTAACAACCCTGGCGAGCCTAGCCAGCGACACCCTCATCCCATGAATGAATGAAGGAAAAAAGGCAGTTACCAATGACCTCCCATCTCCAGCTGCTATTCCCACAGTGGATCAAGGCACAATAAGAAACTAATTCTACTAGTTTAGAAACCAGGTTTCAGTGATCATCCCATCACAGGACAATTTTGCCATCATCACACAGCCACTTGCTAGTCTGAATTTTAACACGGAAGCAGTTAATGCAAGATAGGAAATTTCCAAGCAATCTGGATATGGAAATGGTGGAAAATATTTCACGTAAGCAGTTCCTGATGCATTGGGCTCCTGGATCATGGGAGGAAACATCCAAGATTGGTCAGGTGAGTGCAAACTATGCTCATTGTCTAATTGGTTACTGACACTGTAAAAGATGGCCCATCATTACCCTTCCATAAAAAAAATACACTAATGCTTTCTATTGCCCTTGTGCCATGACAAAGCACATAGCAGTCAAAACTGGCAAAACCTCACATGACCCAGCCAAGGACATGTCAGCATCTTTGAAACTTCAGCTGGTCCTGACACTCTGCATTAACTCAGATGAGCACAATGCCTCAGGCACGGATAGTTAGACACTACATGCAGAACCTTTGCCCTTCCTCCTACACTTTCACCACCCATTTTATCAGGGTGTGGCATCCAATTGTGCTTTGATCATTACCTTTACCACAGCATACTGTCACTGCAGCAAGCAAGAAGGAGCAAGCTGGTAGGGTGTTGTTGTGCAACTAAGCACACATGTTATGTTAGCATGAAAGGAACATATGTTAGCCTACCTATCAACATAGGTCTGCAGTCACCTAGAGAATAAGGTTCCTCTAGGCCCGAAACGTCAGCTTTCCTGCTCTGTTCATTCAGCTCTACACCTTGTTATCTAAGGTTCCTGCATGTCAGCAGACATAAGTTTGGTTGATGCCACACATAACCTAAGGCCTTACTTACACACGTTTTCTTCAATGTCATGCCAGAATATCGTAGAGGAGAGCAATTGCTGATAGCGTGGGTGAAACAATGCCAGCTTTTGTGACCAGACTTCTGGTTATGATCAAAAAGACACAAGCAGAAAGAGAAAACATAACCAAAATGAAAGAGGAAAGTACCTAATATGACAAAGACAGTATGGCAGGAGATTGCATCCACTGTCAGTGCAGTAGATGAACATCAATCGAATGCCACAGGAGGTTCAACAACTTGTTTTGTTCCAGCATGCTGTGTTGTTTAGCAGGAGCATACAGAGGTCATTCATGATTGATTACATTTGAATTGTGGACTTGTTGGGGCAGATCGGGCACATACAATTATTCATTTTATTAGATATGTATATCCAAAGCTCTCCTGTGGTCCAAACAGTTATGGACTGAAATGCAAACTGCAACTGTCACATTGAAGACCTTTGTCTCTAGTGACGTGATAGAATAGACTACTGTAATGTTGCATTTGTTGAAAAGGAGCACACAATCATTGAGAGATGCCCTGGACTGGGGTAGATCTGCAAGGCTATAAGTGATTCATATAGTTGAGGAGACAGTGACAGAAGCAGCAAGAGTGCCAGCTGAGCTCATTTTTGGTGATCGACAATCACATATATTTGGTGACAAGGTGGTGTTAGAAGCATAGTTGAACATAATGCCAATGGTGAAGGTGATAATGCTAGTACATTAAGCAAAAAAAAAAAGACATTGATAAGAGGGAGAGTGCAAAGGGGGAGCTGTATGATGAAAGTGCCACATGAATGGTTGAAAGCATTGACTCGATCCCACAATGCCAAGGGTTTAATCATATTACCTCCTTTAGTGTCCCACGTAGGTCCCAGTGGCTCTTGCTCTTCACAAACAACTCTTATTCTAGCTGGATCATTCCTCAGGAGTCATACTGAGGAAGCGATGTCAAAGGATGCACCATTGCTTCTAACCAGCTGATTATCTCCAAAAAAAAAAGGTACTTCAGACGGGTAATACACATGTAGAGTTATGACATGTAGTGAAGAGTGACATACCAAAAGTGCAAGAGGAGATGCTAGAGGTAGATCTCTGCACCATCCTCCATACAGCAGGGATGATGATGATGATGATGATGATGATGATGATGATGATGATGATTAATGATCCAAGAGGCATGGTGATAGGGGTCCAGGAGCCAACCTATGAGCCACAGTGCTTGGAGAAAAAGCATCAGATGTGCAGAATTCCCTGAGGGAATGCATGTTAATGCACTTCAAGTGGAGGACATCCAGTACAATGATTAACCCTGTTTCAGAGATAGTAGGAACTGCAGATGCTGGAGAATCTGAGATAACAAGGTGTAGAGCTGGATGAACACAGCAGGCCAAGCAGC